CTGGAAGCTGGACTTAAAAGTATGTTTCCCACCCCTGTTATTCCTGTTCACAGCCAGGCTGGACTTCATGCTATTCTCCAACTGTGCTCTGAGCTGACTCTACCTGGATTTTTTCTTCAATTTCTGTTTAAGTTTCAAGGCCTAGCTCAATTGCCACCTCTTCCTTGAAGCCTTCTGATTCTCTCTGCCAAAAGAAATGACTCTTTCCTATGAACCTGCAAATAATTTTATCTGTAAATCTCTTATGGCATTTATCAATTCCTTCCTTGGGTTTTTGTTACTTATTGAAATTGTATGTCCTCCTCATTACATTGTAGGTGAGTTTCTGGAGGTCAGAGACCCTGTTTTTGAGCTCAACAAATGTTAAGAGTTGAATAACTGAATTTCTTCTTTATAATAATCCATATTTTTGGAGGTTAGGGAGTACATTCATTTTGGAGTTAGGGTGATATGTTTATGGGTTTACAGTTACTTCTGTGTATAGTTGTTACCATTTCTAGGAATACTCCTTCCACCTCTGCCCCCACCCAGCAAGCTCACCCAGCATTGTAACATGAAAGAGTGATACATCTTGATTCATGATATGAATATATTCCACTAGCCCTGGCACCTGAAGTATGTAAGTCGAGAAGGAGAAACACTGAAATACACAGAGTCAGAAACTACTCTGTGGAAAATTCTTCCACTCATTAGATGTTAAAATAGTAAGAAGAGGATTGGGTTCTTATTGAGCCCTAACAGGAAAATCTCTCTTAGTAGGAATATACTCAATATATAGTGTGTCCAATTATAAATGTACTTTAAAAAAATTCTGATGGAAATAACGCAAAATAGAATTTATCAGAATTCTTCTGTTTGTAAAACACAAACCTATAGTCATTACAATTATTGTAATTATTAACTATATTTTTTAGTAGACTTTATTTTTTAGAGCAGATTTAGGTTCACAGCAAAATGGAGTGGGAGGTACAGAGATTTCTCGTAAATTCCCTGCCCTCACTCATGTTTAGCCTCCTCTAGTATCAACATCCCCCAATAGAGTGGTACATTTGTTACAACTGATGAACCTACATTAACACATCATCATTACCCAAGTCCATAGTAAATATTAACTTTTGTATCTAATTTTATATTCTTTTTCTTAATTAGCCTCCCCCCCCCACAATTTTATAAGCTTTAGGACCCACAAGTATTTACTTTTCAACATAATAATTTATGTTTTTACTGAAGTTCTAATTTCTATTGACAAGTTTTGTTGTTCTTACTCAAATACATAGCTTTGCAATTGCCCGTAGTGAACTCTTCTATTTATTTATGGTCACTCTTCCAAGTTATTTTTCAATCTGGGTGGAAAATTTCATTAAGTGCTATTTTATGGCTTACTATGCAATGTCAATCATTTTTTCATTAAGCAGTTTAGATATGTTGATAATGCAGAAAATTAATTCATAAAGGAATGACCTGAGTTTGTTGATACATCATTGTACATGGCTTTAGTATAATAAATTCTCAGCTTTGTAATCACAAAAGGAGGGATAGCATAAGAACAATATTGGCAAGCCCAACATACTCGTGAAAAGAGAGGAGCCAAAACACAAACCAGCTCCCAATACTAAAGGAAAACTTCACCCTCAATTGGTCTTTTAAAATTGTTTTCATTTCTTCTGAGTTGAGTATAATCAAGTCCTAATGTCTTTCTAACCCCCACTGCCGGTTCACATTCTCTTCAAGTGTTAAGTGTGGAGTTTCATGGGGTTCTAAGAGCATTAGAGGGTAGAGAACGAAAGGATTGCAATGGTTTAGCACCTTCTACCTAGTCGAAGCTCCAACATGTAGGTCATGATTTGAAATTTCAACTGGAAGAATGTTGTGGAAGCTTTTTGTAAATCATAAAAGTGTTGTACAAATGTTACTTTGTTGATGTTACTGTTGTTATGATGGGGGTAATTTTTCAGCTCTATTAAGGGCAAATAAAAAAGAATTAATTTGTATCAGAATAGATGTAGCTTTTAAGAAAATCCTGACTCTGAAACAAAGTAATAAGGATTTTAACATTAAAGATGATTTGCTAGGCTTTGGCAGTAAAGATTACTGTAGGGTGGTAGGAGGGGAAAAAGACTGGAAATAATTGCATGTACCTACTTAATAATTCTTTCCAGTCTCTTTGAGGCTAATTCCATCAAGCAGAAAATTAAAGTGTTATGGCTACACAAATGTATTTTGGTATGTATAAATATAAGTCAATACCAGTAATACAAGCATGATTTGCAATGAAGGAAAGATTCACTCTAAGGAAAAAGCAAATTACTAAGAGGAACCTAAAAATAGTCAGGTTTTCTACAGTTGAGAGGAAATATCTACCTAGCAATTAAAATGAAATTGATTAAAATATTCCTTTACAGACACAGAGAGACAATACAGAAATGCCTTTTAACATGTGCTGTTACACAGAGAACAAAATGCATTTGTAGCTCTGGTTCTACCATATTCAGTTACTATTATTAAATATTTCATTAAAATGATCTCTTGAAAGAAACAATTTTGTTAGTTTAAAAACGTCACTATGAATCAGATATTGTGATTAATTAAAGTTATGATTCAGATTCGCTTTGGAGAATATTTGGGCGATCCGAGTTTATTTATGTTCAGTAATGTTAAGTTCTAGGATAAAATGTGTTTTGAAAATAGAGGATACATTTTGAAATCTTTAATCTGCTTTGGTAAAAAAAAAATCATATTTTAGATTGGTCTGGAGTTTAGAAAATAAGTGTGATTTGTTCAAAATGTTGTTTCATGGTTCAGTTCTGTTCAAGCCACTTTTATGCATGACCCCAAAGCTGCAGTGGAAAGATTGCTCCTGCAGAAAAAGTCAGAGGGGGAATATTTATCATCAATAATTTATATTGTCACAAGGTTATAAAACTGATGTATTATCTTCACACAAATGCTGAGTAAAATGTATAATCAGAGTAATAAAATATAACCAGTTCAGCATTATTAAAACCTGGGAAGACTTAATAACAAATTCAGCATAAACAAAAGGACCTTCAGGATCCTACCCGTGTCAGTGGAGCCAATTTTATGACTAATTTGTTTCTGAAGCAAGGCAAATTGTTCTGGGCATATCAGCCTTGGGTAATCACAATGCTGTGAGGACTTCATAGTCCAATCCTCTTCCCCTCACTTCTCTGTTTTATTTTTTCCCGTCTAATATAGTCTTTGAAAACTTTATACAGAAAGAAGTGAGGAGGGAAATGCAGAGAAAAGGATTTTCGGAAATTTCCTTTCAAAATGGGTAGGCAGGACATTGGAAAGGGAAGAGAGAATACACGTGAACATAATCTCTTGTGAAGGAAAGCGTAACTTATAATAAATACTTGTTTTGAGGACATGAAATAAAAGATGACATGCGACCCAATTTCTCTTCCAATAACAGAAGACATATTGAAAAGAACCTAGCAAATAGACTATAAAGTCTTAAAACGAGGGGCTGGGCGAGGCCTAGCGGTTAAGTGCGTGCTCCACTGCTGGCGGACCGGGTTCGGATCCCGGGCGTGGACCGAGGCACCGCTTGTCAGGCCATGCTGTGGTGTCCCGTATAAAAGTGAAGGAAGATGGGCACAGATGTTAGCCCAGGGCCAGTCTTCCTCAGCAAAAAGAGGAGGATTGGCATGGATGTTAGCTCAGGGCTGATCTTCCTCACCAAAAAAAAAAAAAAAAGGCTTAAAATGAGTTTTAAAAAATGTGTAATACGTGATATTTGCTTATTACATAGTTTTTCCTTTGAAAAGTATTTTCACTATAATTCACTTTAATCTTTACAACCACTCTGTGAGGTGGGTCGGTTGGGCCTTTCTTCTTGATCCACAGAGGCTGGGATAGGCCCAGCCAGGGCTGCCGCGGGTCATTCCCAGATCAGGGCATCAGCCCTGTCCGCTCCCAGCTGAACTGACACTGGCCTCTGGGATCTCACAGCCAACGACGGGAGAGGCTCCCCAGAGCGACTGCTCCCCCAGCCATGCCTTCTCAAAGGGCAGATTCCTGCCCACACCCTGCAGGGAGTGCTAGCCGCTCCCAAGGAGATGTTAAGGTGCACGACGAGGTGGTGGTCAAGGGCACTGGCTTCGTGGCGTCAGAGTGATCTGGCTTTGAATCCCCAGACCTTCTCTTACTGTGCACGACTTTAGGCAATCTCTCTGAGAGGCAATGTCTCTCAATTTTCTCACCAAGGGGTTTACTGACGACTAAAGGATATAAAGGAATAAAGGTCTTAGCCTACTGCCTGGGTCAAAGAAAGCGCTGGTGAACTGGTGACTATAAATATTAATAGCTCCGGGATGGGTAGGTCACCATCTCTGCCGGCTTGGGGAATCTGCATCTGCAAAATGGGCGCAGTGTAGACCGCAGGCTTTTAATAGCAAATATTCTTTGCAAACAAAACAACAAAACCCCTCACCATCCCCTCCTGCGCCGCCCTATTCTGATTGACCCTTGTTTCCAAAATGTGGGGGCTGGAGGAATGGATCCAGAACCCAAGGAAACATTATTATCACCCAGGGAAATTAAAAAGCGAGAGGGCAGGAGAGGTGAAGTAGAGATGGGAGAGAGGGGCAGGCAAGGCAGCCTCAGCTTTGCTCTGAATAGCTGCAACCCTAGTCGCAGCCAGGTGAACGCCCGCGCCCACTGCTCGGCCCGAAAGCCTTCACTGGGACCCCATAAAGCAACCCTGGGGACTGGCGGTGGGACGCTGGGAAACGAAGCAGAGGAGGAAGGGGGTGGGATTCTAGGGCTAGGGGCGGGGCCCTAGAGGAGGAGCTACAGGCGCTCGAGGGGCGGGGCTGTGGCGTACGGGGCGGGGCTATGGGCGGGACCTCGCAGAGATCCACGGCTGCGCGCGCCACGTCTCTCTTACCGAGCATGTGGGTGAGAGGAGGGGGAGGAAAAACCGAGCGGGGCGGGAACTATCTCTTCTCGCGAGAGCTGGCGACGGCAGCGGCGGTGGCGGCGGCGTGTCGGTGAGAGTAGCGTGGGGGTGGGGAGGAGAGGCGGCGGCGTCGGAGCTACGCCACACGGGGTCGGAGCGCTGGGAGCAAGAGCGCGGAGCGGGGTCGTGGTGGCGGCGGTGGGAAGAGGGAGGCGGAGGAGGGGGCGCCATGGCGGGGCAGCAGTTCCAGTATGATGACAGCGGGAACACCTTCTTCTACTTCCTCACCTCCTTCGTGGGGCTCATCGTGATCCCGGCCACATACTACCTCTGGCCCCGAGACCAGAATGCCGGTGAGTCCCGCCGGCAGCTGCCCGCGGCCCGGCGCAGGCCCCGCTGGCCCCTGCGGGCCGCGCCGCTCC